ACACTTGCCCTGGCGGTGCCACACGGAGACTGCATAAGTCCTGATTTTAACACTTGCCCTGGAGACTGCATAAGTCCTGATACAAGCACTTGCCCTGGAGACTGCATAAGTCCTGATAGAAGCTCTTGCCCTGGCGGTGCCACACGGAGACTGCATAAGTCCTGATTTAAACACTTGTCCTGGAGACTGCATAAGTCCTGATTTAAACACTTGTCCTGGAGACTGCATAAGTCCTGATTTAAACACTTGCCCTGGCGGTGCCACACGGAGACTGCATAAGTCCTGATTTAAACACTTGTCCTGGAGACTGCATAAGTCCTGATTCAAACACTTGCCCTGGCGGTGCAACACGGAGACTGCATAAGTCCTGATTTAAACACTTGTCCTGGAGACTGCATTAGTCCTGATTTAAGCACTTGCCCTGGCGGTGCCACACGGAGACTGCATAAGTCCTGATTCAAACACTTGCCCTGGCGGTGCCACAAGGAGACTGCATAAGTCCTGATTTAAACACTTGTCCTGGAGACTGCATAAGTCCTGATTCAAACACTTGCCCTGGCGGTGCCACACGGAGACTGCATAAGTCCTGATTTAAACACTTGTCCTGGAGACTGCATAAGTCCTGATTCAAACACTTGCCCTGGCGGTGCCACACGGAGACTGCATAAGTCCTGATTTAAACACTTGTCCTGGAGACTGCATAAGTCCTGATTTAAACACTTGCCCTGGCGGTGCCACACGGAGACTGCATAAGTCCTGATTTAAACACTTGTCCTGGAGACTGCATAAGTCCTGATTCAAACACTTGCCCTGGTGGTGCCACACGGAGACTGCATAAGTCCTGATTTAAACACTTGTCCTGGAGACTGCATAAGTCCTGATTTAAACACTTGCCCTGGCGGTGCCACACGGAGACTGCATAAGTCCTGATTTAAACACTTGTCCTGGAGACTGCATAAGTCCTGATTCTAACACTTGCCCTGGCGGTGCCACACGGAGACTGCATAAGTCCTGATTTAAACACTTGTCCTGGCGGTGCCACACGGAGACTGCATAAGTCCTGATTTAAACACTTGTCCTGGCGGTGCCACACGGAGACTGCATAAGTCCGGATTTAAACACTTGTCCTGGCGGTGCCACACGGAGACTGCATAAGTCCTGATTTAAACACTTGTCCTTGCGGTGCCACACGGAGACTGCATAAGTCCTGATTCTAACACTTGGTCCAGTAGTCAGTGGCGGCCTTTCAGACTTTAAGGTCTAAGGCGACAGCTGCAAAACTAGATACCACATAATGTATTGTATTATAATATCATTATCTACTCTTACATGTCATGATGTGTGTATGTTTGTGTATTTGTGTGTGTGTGTGTATTTGTATTTATGTGTGTGTGTATTTGTGTGTGTGTGTTTGTATGGAGACAGTGATATATGTTAGCGTAGATATCCGCCTTGTTGCACCAGTTATCATACCATTGGGTGACAGTACAGATTCAGATACTTCATCAGCTACAAGACATCATCTACAAAACAAAAAATCCTTCTTGATTCCAAAATCCCAACCTTCCAATACTCATCCAGTTTTACAGCTTTTAACAAGTCCATATTTGTTCCAAGCAAATCTACTGCAGTACAGTATAGTAATTGCTACCCCTGTCAACGCATATCTCAATAAGTACAATAACAGCACTATTTTGAGACCACCCTGAACTCGGGTGACTTTTGCACCTGTGAGAATGCAGGGGACGGTCTGAGGTCATCACCTCGGGACAGGTGTTAGGTAATTACCTTAAGCTATGGGCAGTTCCTACATGTATGACAACGCACGAAGATGTTTTAAGCTTATCATCATTTTTACCTGTTAAAGAACCTGTTTAGGCTAATCACGGTGTCAGCTAGGATAGGCAGATATCCGATGTGCTATTTCCATAGCCTCGTGATTTGTATTTATAAAATGAAGCTAGAAAAGCGTATAAAGCATTTCCGACAGCACTTAGTGTATTTTGTAGAACAGGTGCACTGGTGTCCAGTGGTGTAACATTGTGTAGAGTAGCGTCCCTTAGTCGTGCAAGGAAATGATAAAGGTGATCGCCCTGATTATCAGCAAGGTAGGTCAGCAGGATACTTTACCCCTGCCAGCTGGTAAACACAAAAACAGAACTGAATTAGAGTCAAACCTACCTCGCCTACTACCAGTTAAACAACAAGAGTTAAAAGTACATACAAGCAATAGTGGAGAGTAAGTATTGATCTGTGTAGGTCATATCTCCTAGTGAATGGTGTCGGTGCAAGTAGTGGTATCTTCAGTAACAGATTAACCTCTAGATGTGATTTCAGACACAATTGCGAAGTCGGGATGAGCTTGGAGGAAATTGACAAGGTATTAATACCCAGGGGAGTACTCATTAGTGACCGGGAGATACGCCCATGTGATTGCCGTAAAGATGTGGACTTTCTAACAATTGTCATACTCACCACACACTCCTGCCGGCAGAAATACTATTAAATAATGCATAGACGACTATGCATTATTTCAGAAAATAGTGTGCAAGGATCCTTGTTGTTACTCTCTAAGTAAGGATAAGAATTTATGGATGAACAACTTCTTTATTACAATTAAGAGCGACGTTTCGGTGTAGGTTCTAACACCGTTATCAAGCAAGTGTTAGAACCTACACCTACACCGAAACGTCGCTCTTAATTGTAATAAAGAAGTTGTTCATCCATAAATTCTTATCCTTACTTAGTACTCCAACTTCTAAATGCCTATCAAAGAAGTTGTGACTCTCTGTTTAATCTGTTCATGCACGACCATAAAAAACTGCATCTTCTTATTGTTCCTCATTGTTCCACACATGCTTGCCGTTACAGGTGACTATGCTTGTCGTAAAAGGCGACTAACGGGATTGGATGGTCAGGCTCGCTGACTTGGTTGATGCATGTCATCGATCCCAAATGCGTGGATCGATGCTCATGATATCAATCACTGGATTGTCTGGTCCAGGCTCGATTATTTACAGACCATCATCATATAGCTGGAATATTGCTGAGTGCGATGTTAAACAACAAACAAACAAGCAAACAAATGTTGCCTTGAACACGTTCGTACTTTCTAAGACCATTGTAATGGTTTAAATAAGCAAATATCAGATCAAACCCAGGTCATGAACAGTTAGACTTACAGACACAAATACAAGGCGAACCAAAGACAAGCAGGTTCCAGTAAATAATATTGATGCAACATAGACGAACTGCAAACTTGTAGCGTAACGGTCCAGATACGAACCCACGTCTTCAGAGCCAGGCATCTGATCGACAGCTTTGAATTAATGTTAAAACACGGTATCCACTTGGATATTACCGATATGAAACAGAGAAATAGGGACTTTTAACAAGGTCAATTTGACAAAAATAATCTGCAACTTTAAACAGGCTCAGTACACAGCAGTTCAAGTAGAAATGTACATGTTAAAACAATTAATCAACGAAGTAGTCGTATGTGTAGTGCATGTATTAAGACGAGGCGGCGGACTTCGGTTGTATGGCGGCAATTTCATCATTGCACTACCACACGCGCACGGCCCATTCGTAACAACTCGTGTTATTCCTGCAAGCCGTGTTCAGGCTACGGAAAGGGGGGAGTTGTTATGAAAGGCACACGACCCAGCCATTCAATAACACAGGTGTGGCAACCGATACGGTATTCATTGTGTGGGTGAGTGAGTGAGTGAGTGAGTATGGTTTCACGCCGCTTTTAGCTATATTCCATCAATATCACGGCGGGGGACACAGGAAATGGGCTTCACACATTGTACCAATGTCGGGAATCGAACCCCTGTCTTCTTGATCTTGATCATGGGTGACGAGCGAACGCTTTAACCACGAGGCTACCTGACCGCCTCTCATTCGGAGAAATATAACATTTGGCATTCTGAGTAAAATCCCATAACAATTGCACGTATCGTTTTTATCAACCAAAGGATATTAAAAGTGCATAACGAACCGTGACGTAACCAGTTCGTGGGTGGTTCTAATCGCGTAATTTTTCCAGAATGATTACTTGTCATGACGATGCGTTATGCCAAACAGTCTCAATGAACATACGCGTTGCATAGGATCAAGTAACGTTGTCGGGGATTAGTTGATGTTTTATCTTATCAGTTGATGTTTTATCTTATCAGTTGGTGTTTTATCTTATCAGTTGGTGTTTTAACTTATCAGTTGTTTTTTTCTTATCAGTTCGTGTTTTATCTTATCAGTTGATGTTTTATCTTATCAGTTCGTGTTTTATCTTATCAGTTCGTGTTTTATCTTATCAGTTGGTGTTTTATCTTATCAGTTGATGTTTTATCTTATCAGTTCGTGTTTTATCCTATTAGTTGGTGTTTTATCCTATTAGTTGGTGTTTTATCTTATCAGTTGATGTTTTATCTTATCAGTTGGTGTTTTTTCTTATCAGTTCGTGTTGTATCTCATCCATGGCTTGTGTACAGGACCAGTGACCGTTGTACAGGATCATTGAACGTTGCCTAGGATCAATGTCCGTTTCATAGGATCAGCGACCGATGCATCTTATCAATGGCTGTTGGATAGGGTCAATGAGTTTAATGTAGCACCAATGGCCGTTGTATATGATCAGTGACCTTTATATAGGATCAATGACTTTTGTACAGGATCAATGACCGATGTATAGTAGGATCAATGACTCGTTAAAGGATGACATCCCCATTGTCAGGTAGAGAATAACATCAACAGCAGATTTATGTAAAAAGCCGATATACATTTGAAGGTTTAGATTGAAGTAGCATGATGTTAATATGACGGTCAGTCGAGATTTATGCACACCTGCACCAAGGGGTTTACACCAGGGCTGTCAATATCACAAATCAGAAACCGATACATGCAGGAACGTGTGCTGTGTTGTTCTGCTACACACATATATCCCAGCAGTCCGTGGTTGTGACGCCTCAGTGGCCACGTGGCTAGTGTCTGGCATCAGCAGGGAAGCTATGTACAGTCGTTTGTGTTAACAGTTGAGAGTAGACCAGCACGGACATACCCTCGGCAGTGCTGTAAACTTGCATGCAGGCGCGGCGCCCTAAGGACTTTCAGCGAGGTAAGGAACTGTTGTAGTTATGCATTTTTTGTTGTTGTTGTTTTGGTTAAGTTCATATGAACGGAAGCTGATTTATAAATTTGACACTGATATATTATGATAGTGAGAATGTAAAATACAACAACACCTGGCTACATGCACATATAAATGGGTCTTATGGTTACAACATGGTTTGACGTCCAAGGTAAATAACATGTCATGTTACAAAACGATTATTACACTTATCTATGTTTTTAAGCTGGCAAATACTTAAACCTTTTGTAACTGAATTTCAGCATTCAATAGATAAATTAATTCCGGGGACACGAGTCAAATGTATTTGTGCGAAAGAATATAGCCCAGTTACCCACATTTCAGCTGACAGTGGTTACATACGCTGACTTCGGCTATTTATTGAACTAACAGTTACTGTACATTGATGAATTATTTAGAATTATCTGAGCAGGTAGTATTATAAACATCTAAATTTTCTTTACAATATCTAAAAAATCAACAACAAAATCGTACTGTAGTGAAGTTCAAAGAACAACAAGAGCGGAGACACACCATGCAGTGTTTGATCTCTGTGCAATAGCATTTTTCTGAAAACTGATGCCTTTGAAAAATTAAGTAAGATATTTCCAAGTAAAATGCATTGACAACAAAATCTTATTTGTATTTGTTTACTTTCTAGTTATTATATTAATAAGTAAAAGCTCCTAACGGTTGTCTGAATGTGATCTGGACTGAGGTTTTAGTGATTTCCAGCATCACTTATGGTCAGATTAGACATTTTCTCGCCGCGAAAAGCTGCAAGATTGCTGATGCGGCGTTAAACTAAACAACTAAACTAACTCGCCCCCCCCCCCCCCCCCCCTCCCTCCCTCCCTCCCTCACTCACTCACTCACTCACTCACTCACTCACTCACTCGTTGTCCAATCATTACACCGGCGAGAAGTTGGCTCTTGTCCGTCCCGTCTTTCTGAATATTTGCATGAAGTTGGCCAGATGGTACACTTACACACACGAAGACACGGACACAGAGTAAGCATTGGATGGAGAGTAAGCACAAGTAGAGAGGGTCCCTCATGACTGAAGCTATTATAAGTGAGTGATTATTGTTTTATGCCACTTTCAGCAATATTCCAGCAATTCCAGAAATGGGCTTCAGACATTGTACCCATCTGGGCAAGCGAACGCTTACCACTGGCTACCCCATCGCCCCCAGCTTGTGAACACTGGGTGACACGGGGAGTGATTGACAAGGAAGCGCGACGCGTGAAGATCCGGGTCTTCATCAACCCATGCTTGCTGTAAAAGGCGACTTTGCTTGTCGTAAGAAGCGACTAACGGGATCGGGTGATCAGGCTCGCTGACGTGGTCGATGCCTGTCATCGTATCCCAATTCGATTATTTACAGACCGCCATCATATAGTTGGAATATTGCTGAGCGCGGCGTTGAACCACAAAGAGACAAAGAGACAAGGAGGCCCAGTCATACAGCGGGTTATAGTTTGACACCAACAAATTATAGCATGCACTACAAACAAATCAAACCAAGTTTATGTAAGTTCTTGGTCAAACGTAGAGAACATTTTAAGACCAAGATGTAAGTGTCCCTCTGTCGCAGTACCAAGTGAACCGCAAGGTATGCTGGGAAGGAGAACGGACTTGATATACACTCACCCGATTTCGATCGTGCTCTATTTTATTGCAAAACATACTTTTGAATTTGTGATAATCCCAACTCAGCATTTTGTATATATTTGTACCATTATTTCAAAATGTATACCGACGATTGAGAAAGAAGCACGCTGCTATAAACATACTATCTTCTGTCAACGGCAGTTGAATCAAACCTCTTCAAGTCAGCGGCGGTTCTGTGATTTTATACCCTGAATGACAAGTTGTTTCCAGATTCATAGTACATTTGTATATATTCTATGATTTCAATCATATTCATTGGTTCGAGTGCCGGATAAATGCTCATTTTGAACATTGGGCTGTCAACAGACTCTCCAATTTGTTTCAAAAAGAGTTGAAAGTCCTCTGTCACTCTCTGAATTCTTCTTGCATGCAGACTGGGTGTGCCCGGTAAAGGGAAGGTCAGAGGTTCGAATCCCGTCCACGTCATTCACCTGTCTTTTGCTTGGGGGGGGGGGGGGACTATTATATTCCTTATGAATATGGAGAGGTTTTTGCCGCTTTAGATTAAAGTATAGCAGCTACGACAGTCGTAAGCCTGTGTGAAAGTATAGCAGCTACGGCAGTCGTAAGCCTGTTTTAAAGTATAGTAGCTACGACAGTCGTAAGCCTGTTTTAAAGTATAGCAGCTACGACAGTCGTAAGCCTGTTTTAAAGTATAGTAGCTACGACAGTCGTAAGCCTGTGTGAAAGTATAGCAGCTACGGCAGTCGTAAGCCTGTTTTAAAGTATAGCAGCTACGACAGTCGTAAGCCTGTGTGAAAGTATAGCAGCTACGACAGTCGTGAGCCTGTTTAAAAGTATAGTAGCTACGACAGTCGTAAGCCTGTGTGAAAGAATAGCAGCTACGACAGTCGAGAGCCTGTTTAAAAGTATAGTAGCTACGACAGTCGTAATCTTGTGTTAAAATATATCGGCTACGGCAGTCGTAAGCCTGTGTTAAAGTATCGTAACTACGACAGTCGTAAGCATGTGTGCAAGTATGCTAGCTGGAGGTATTTTTGTTAATCAGTCTACATTATATCCGTGTCATCCAAAGCCCTGTATGCGAGTCTGTAATTATCAGAGACGATTATTCAATAGAACATGTATTAGCCAGGTCACTGAGAATGTTCTGCCATCTTCGTTTCCTGGGCTTTCACTCTGAACCGTTTACTGACAGTCAGCAGTGTCAATCTCGTATATGTGACAGCTGGTAATCTAATAAAACGACTTCCAGAGATCACTTTGAAACAAGACGACTCTATGATGATGTGGAAACACGCTATATTGGCAATTATAATACCCGTTACAAAGTTTCCCTAAGTGATGACAGTTGCTGCAACTGTTAAATACTTTTTCCCAGAGATGAACCTTGCCTGACTTATGATCAAGAGACGGGTCATGGGGGCAGGCCTCTGAGCTGAACACTGACGTGATCAACAACGACATGAACGACCCCTACAACTTAGTATAACCAGCTTACATTGCTTAATTTGAAACATCGTGGCATGTCAGAAAGTCAACCTTGAAACATGTCTACGTTGGGGTACGTCTTCACCAACAGGTGGGACCGGGGCTGTCAACATTGGCGGTCATAGAGAATTCGAAGTAACGGCACATTGCCGCCAGGGAGACAGGGAAGGTGGGTTGGGATGTGTATGCGTGTTCAGTCTCTCAGGTGGCAATTTTACACCTCGGAGCAGTTTTCCGTGTTTGTGTGGTGTGTGGTGTTAGTGTGTGTGGTGTGGTACGGTGCGGTGCGGTGCGGTGCGGTGCGGTGCGGTGCGGTGTTAGTGTGTGTGTGTTTGTGTGTGTGTGTGTGTGGTGTGTGTGTGGTGTGGTGCGGTGCGGTGCGGTGCGGTGCGGTGCGGTGCGGTGCGGTGTTAGTGTGTGTGTGTTTGTGTGTGTGTGTGTGTGGTGTGTGTGTGGTGCGGTGCGGTGCGGTGCGGTGCGGTGCGGTGCGGTGCGGTGTTAGTGTGTGTGTGTTTGTGTGTGTGTGTGTGTGTGTGGTGTGTGTGTGATGTGGTGCGGTGCGGTGCGGTGCGGTGCGGTGCGGTGCGGTGCGTGTGTGTGTGTGTGTGTGTGTGTGTTTGGTGAGGGAGAGAGATATGAAAAGTATTAAAGAACTGTACCATTGATCTGTGACAGAGTATAGTGTTCTGAATTGAATCATCCGAATTATCTGTAATCGTGACTATATGAATTATCTCCAACAGTGACGATACAAGGACTAATTAAATTATCGGGAATAGCAACAACACGACACATCGGGAATAGCAACAACACGACACATCGGGAATAGCTACTACACGACACATCGGGAATAGCTACTACACGACACATCGGGAATAGCTACAACACGACACATCGGGAATAGCTACAACACGACACATCGGGAATAGCTACAACACGACACATCGGGAATAGCTACAACACGACACATCGGGAATAGCTACAACACAACACATCGGGAATAGCTACAACACGACACATCGGGAATAGCTACAACACGACACACCTGAGGGAGGAACTATACCGCCTATCTCAGAAGTGACAACATGTCTGAAATCGGGACAATATGAATTCTGCGAGCTTAGTCTTGCTTCTTAAAATGACACTTAGAATAAGTTTTAGAGTAATCTACAAGAAATGTACACATTTTTAGTACATATTTTAATTATCATTTCAAATACTGGTTGTTCCAAAGCATAACTTACATAAACCATTCATATACGTTTCACCACTATTTAATCTTTATATCTGCGTGGACGTGTCATCGAGAATGGTTCTGCAAATAAAGTAAACGTCTGTAGTATGACTAAGGCCTCTTTAAATTCAATGTACACACTGAACGACAGACGTAGGTCAGCCAAGGTTTGCATATACAATGTATAAAGTACATACAAAACACTAGAACAATGCACATCACAATGCGGTGCAAAGTCCTACAATCAACCCCTTGTCTGCCCTTCTCCTGGATGTGACGGTCAGTGAGTGAGTGTGGTCACAAGGGATAGTTAGTTGTTCCGGGGGGGGGGGGGGGGGGGGGGGGGGCACTACTGCTGCTGCTACTCCATTGTCACTCTTCACGTGTGGCAGTTGCAGATCGACTGTCAGATAAACTGTTTCTGTAGATGTATCGTAATCATTTCATTCACCCAATCAGGCCACTGAGAGTTGAATGAGTGACGCGATAATTGACCGCCACACAAATGGACAGTTGTATATTCCTTAGGGTGGTTCTCAATAAGGTTATTTGCTCTGAAAGACAAAACTACATGCAGGAATAATAGGCTGACCCGAGGATGCGGAGCAACTGTGTATGGTAATCAGT